AGGTAACCTCTTGTTCCTGCTTTGAATTAATATGTAACGAAGTTGAGATCATTAATCATATTGCACAAGCATCCAAGCATTTAAGCTCAAAGCAAAAATTGATATGCGGATGGAAACCAGTGGAACCCTAACTAGTATGATGAACATGGAGAGAAATTAGAAGTACCAGAAAAACACAGCAAAATGAGAGAAAGAGGGAGAACAGCAACAGTGGTAAGGGTAGAGTAGTAATGTCTGAGAAACGATGGTCAGCGGTAGTTAACAGCCTATTACTGCTACTATTTACCTCCAGTGGTAGGTGGCATCGAATGGTGATGAACAGAAGCAGTGGCAGAGAATGTGGTGTAGGGTTGGGCAGGTGCAGGGCTCTTGGTAGTGGTAGACTAGTAGGGAATTGCAAGATTAAAGGTGACAATGATGTTTGGGGTTTTTTGGATTTGTTGTTAAGTCTAAGGGTATTAGTTATAGCATATTGATGATTAAAAGTACACTATAGGATTAGGATATATAGTTTCTTAACTAGGAAGATTGTACTTTCAAAAAGTTATTTTTTTTATCAATAACTCTGAAAAGATTAATGTATGTATAAATTTGAATATATTAATATTCAAAAAGTTAAATATTAATATATTAATGTATGTATATATTATACAATTTTGGGCCAGACCAAGCCTAAACAGAAAAAACCTAGACCCAAGCCCGAAAACTTGTGAGCAGGGCCGAGCCGGTCTTCCAGGGCAGTCTAAGAATGATCGCCCCTAATTAGTGCACTCCAGATCTGCTACTCACAAATTGTTCTCACATCTCTGCCAACAGAATACCACCACCGTGTATTGGGAACATCTCCCCATGAATGGCAAGGGAGATATTCCCAATACAGAGCTGTAATGTCCCATGGATGTGGGAACAATTTGTGGGCAGCAGATCCAAGCCCTAATTAGTGTCTATTCTCGAAGCCCAGGCTAAAGGTTGGTGAAGGCACTAATGATTGTATTACTGATTTGAGGGGGTGATGAAGACAATGTGATCCCTAACAATTTTGTCGAGACAGATCAAGTAGCCAAGTTTGACTGGTAAAAACTTACATGACTCGTTAATTTGGACAAGTCTGAGAACCTGTTGAGGGAGGTGACAGGCTGACAGCACAATTGGAAGGTGAAATGGAAAGTAGAGTATGCAACAGGACATGGAACCAGGAAGACAAGGATTTATGGTCAAGAAGACTAACATGAGATTATGCAAAAAACAAAAAAAAACTACAGTTCAAGGGATGACCCATTCTCACCCAGAATATAATCATAGAATCAGGAAGTCCTAAAACCATGACACTGTTATAAGTGATACTACAAACAAGAAATGTCAACAGAAACAAGAAAATTTAGCAGAAATAAATGGTTAATAAACAGATCACAGATGGCACATTCATTTCAAATTTCCATTCAGAGAGAACTTTGCCATGATGATATTTCTGCCAGTCCTAAGAGAAATACTGACATAGAAAATCAGGAAGACAAAATGTATGACAGTAAATAGATGGATGAAAATTGCAAAATCAAGGCAAGTGATATTTCCAGAATGTAATGCTTGCACCTAGGCCAGAATCAAATCCTGCCAAAAACTAGTACTCAATTATACATACCATTCTTTTTCATTCTTGATGATACATTACTTCTAAGCCAATTTTTTTTTCTCGCTGTTAAGTCTACGAAGTACTTCTCCCACACCACTCAATATTATTGTATTCTTCATGCTGTAGGGTTGACAGAGAAGTATTAAATGCATGACATATGTTTGAATGCTTTGATTGATGATACAGAACAAAGAAAAACACAACAGCAGTAGTAGAAATAGTACAAGATGAAAAAGCAACATTAGAAGAGCTCCTCTCTCTGCTCCAAAATATTCAGTTGGTCCAAAGCTGTGACGATAGTAGAAAGTAGAAATTGTGCAAATCTGGTAATTTCTCTGTAAAATCTACGCTTTGTCATCATTTCTTCAGAGACTCAGAGTTTCCCTACGAAGTCATTTGAGACTCCACCCAAGGTATCCTCCTTTCATGCTTGGACTGTTGCCCTTAAGACTGTGCCCTTTTGCAACTTGTGTGCTCTGCAATCTTGAGCTGGAGATTACAATATCTTTCCCACCACTATCATATCAGCAGCCAGAATTGGACATCTTTAAAAGCCTGAACCTACACTGGCTCTTCCCAAAATTTGTTTTTGAAGCCTTACAAAGCTGGTATGTCCATGATCTTCCTCCCCGGCCCATGGTTTCTTGGTACCTCATCCCTGCAACTACCCTTTGGCACATCTGGATGGAAAAAAAAAGGGGTAATAGCATATAAGGGCAACTTTTGGGGTTTAATATCAATAAAAGTAATATATTTAAAAAAATTCAAAAATAGGTTAACTTTTTAAAAATAATATCAATACAGGGCAAAAACACTGTTCATCTTCTTCTTCTTGCCATTTGTTCACCAGAGCCGCCGTCCGCCACCGCTGTCCGCTGCCGCCCGCCACCGGCAACGTTGCTGGAGGCAGAGGCGGAGGTGGGCGGAGGCGGCAGCGGCGGCTCTGGTGAACAAATGGCAAGAAGAAGAAGATGAACAATGTTTTTGCCCTTTATTGATATTATTTTTAAAAAGTTAACCTATTTTTGAAATTTTTTTAAATATATTCCTTTTATTGATATTAAACCCCAAAAATTGCCCTTATATGCTAGAAACCCAAAAAAACAGCAGGGTCTTTAATGGCAAATCCTCGCAGCTAGATGAAGTCTTCCGAAACATTTTTGCCAAGATGACTCCATTGACTAAATCCGCTAACTCTCATACTGCATAGCTTTTTGTATTTAGTGTACTTTTTACTTTTCTGTGAATGATGCATGCATGTAGAGCTTCTAAACTGTACAGGAATTCTTCCCTTCCCATTTTACACATCATTATTTAATAAAATTTTACCTTACCTTTTCTTAAAAAGCGACATTAGCAATGAGGACTTCTAAGGCTGAAGAGCTAAGGGATGTTTTTGGATGACTAGAATATTATTATAACTACAAAGAAATATAAGAGGTGAGATAACCCCACATATAAGAAGTTAAGCCCCTCTGAAATCCTCCAGATTTTTTTTCAACTGTAAGGTAAAAATTTCTGTCTTCTATTCTGAAATCCTCCAGAATAGAAGACCAGAATTATAGAAAATTGTCTTCCTCATAACTGTAATAACTAGTCACCAGTTCTGCACTTTCCTGCTCTAAAATCCTCGTTCGATAATTTCTGAATGTATCAACTGATCAACCTATGTTGAGGTACCAGGTTCCACAGTAAAGTACCTTTTTGCTAAAACCCTTCTTATATCAATAACCATACAGTTCTATTAAACATTTAAGTGAAATTTCACGTATATTTCAAATACTGACAAAGAGAAATCATTACAAAAGAAGTAGCATCAGCTGCCTTTATACAGATTTCAGGTCAGAAGCATTACAATGATATATCAACACCCAGATCTAGTGAACCCCACAAGAGACTGTCCTTGTTAACCTCCATTCTTGCAAGACCACCTGCTATTGTATTTGTTAATCTAGGACTCTAGGTATCCATTTGATCAAGCATTTCAGATCAGATGTCAACCTTTTAGCTTCTCTTAGTTTCTACCTCAACAGCCAAGAACCTTCTGTTTCATTTTCCAGCCTGGTTATGGCTACTTTGCAGTCTCCTTTCACAATCAGATTAGTGCATCCCTTTTTGGGTTAAAACCCTTCACAGGCTAGGCTTCAATGAGAGACAAGAATGCCCCTTCTATTTGAAAAGGAAGACAGGACCCATTTTAACCCATACTAACCAAACAATCTGATGAAATGTACCCACTACCCTAAATATCATAGGAAAAGGAGCAATGAATTAGGAGGTTGATCCACCAACTCGGGTTGAAGATTACACAAGGATCATATACAAACTTACAAAGTCCACATGAAAAAAAACCTTAGAGATATGTTAGATATCCACAACCAGCACCAAGGAAAAGGAGTATCAGGCTCATTGAGAAGGGAAGATACACAGGATCTCACTGAGATGCCATTGGCATCTAGGTCCCAGTCCAAGACTCTCCTATCATTGTACTGCAGTCCGATAGGTACTCCTTGAATACAAGCCAGAAAGCTGACTAATAAATCAGCCTTTTAATCATTCATATTCATTCTAACGATTGAAGCTAGTACCCAAAAAGGACCATTAATGACCTTTTCATAGATCTCTTCAAGATTCATAGAGTTTTCAAGACCACAATATGCAAACACATGGCTATGCTATTATACACTTTTTTTCACCTTGAGTTTGTTTTCGGGATATCCAAGCATCATTCAGTATACCCAGTCTAAAACAATAGACAAGTTAAACCCCATTGCATGATTCTTTTTTGTTGTTTAAGATATGACACTAAAGTGCTAAAATCAAGGAAACAAGAGAATTATCATGATACAGTTGTCTAACTAATATTTTCATTTCCAGGGAAACTTTTATTTGTTTAGTCTAGCTCACAAGGTGAAAGATAAAAAGGAAAAGGCAGATGCCATAAAACAAATATAACCATTGACACGCACTTCTTTTGAGGTAAGAAAAACTCACAGATGGCAATACTAACTGAAACACTCTATGCATGAATATGAAACATTATACCAGCACCTGAATCAACATATTACAGATTTCTGACTCAAAATGTGGTCGATAACAAAGGGAATACAACAGGTAGATCTCACCCTATAAGAATATGAAATAACTTTAAGATGCAAATCTGACATATAAGTTGCAACAAGAGATGAACGCATCACTCATTAAGATAACAAAAGAACTTCAATAACCAATAAGATCAGAAGTTTCTTGGCATCTTATATCTTATTTTGAGATTCCAATAGTAGATTCTTCTCTATAATCTTGTTAATCATAGAGATTATTATAGGAACCAGTAACCACTTCACAAGATAAACAAATGGGATTATCTGACCTGAAGTTCTGCTAACTTGTCACGGATTTGTATATAACCCAAGTGAAGCTTTCCCCCAAAATGATCAGCTAAACGACGATCACTGAAAATCACAAGAGAAAAAAAACAGCTAATTTACTGCAATTTTCATAGAATCATTTTGACAAATCCTACATATGTAACATATGTATGGTGGCCCCTTAAGTTTCTAAAATTATATATAAGCATAAAACAGAAAAACACGCACATTCTTTAGCGGCAAAAGTTATCCTCGTAAAACTGGGCCCAAGAGCCTGCTGGTGACAAGGAGGTATAATACGCCTGGTCAAAAGCTGAAGTACTTGAAACCCCAAATACTAGTCTTTTGTTGCCCTCGGAGAAGCTAGGGAACATAAAATAGCAAATACAACATGACATAGGACAGGAGATTTACCTGTCATATACGCTCAAGAATGCTCCGCAAATGTCACAGACACGTAACTTCTGATCAGTCTGTAAATAGTACCAATATAACAATGAAATAATTGTTGGATATTTATAATTTCATAGTTATAAAACACAAACCTGGCAAATAAATCTGGCAGAGAGACAGGTGGGATCAAACAACAGGTTAATACCAGGATAGAAATGGGGTATCCAGGTTGGAACAGAAATTGCAGAGATCCTACCTCAGTTGAATTCAAAAAAAAAAAAAAGTACAACAGTGCCTTAAAAGAGATGGGGTATCCAGGTTGGAACAGAAATCCAAGTCAGATTTGGAAATGCAACCCAAATCAAGACATACTTGAAACCAGGGTTGGACTAGCCAAAAACACAGAAAACACTATGCATGTTGACTCAATAATAGCTACTTCCTAGGTCGACGTGGGAGTATCAGAAAATGATTCTGTATGACAGTGCTTTAAAAGAGGGAGGCACAAGAAAAATACAAGGCAATGCATGAGCAAGGATTAGCTGAACGATGGCTGTCCAGTGGGCTGTGGAACCAATGATAATGTTCTACAGCAGTAATAAAAATACATGGGACCCACACTATTACAGTGGGGCCCATGAATTTGTTACTTGCATGGAACATTATCATTGGTTCCATGGCCCACTGAACAGCCATCGTGTTCAGTAATCTGAATTAGCAATGCACACACCCAGAAATAGAAAGATTCAATTTTTTGAAAATTCAAAAAAAAAAAAACATTAAAACATAAGAAAATGAAATTGTTAATAAAATGTTTTAAGTATCTTATTAGCTCAAACAAAAATTCTTGAACATATATAAAAGAAAAGAGTACAATTACCAGTGATGAGAAATCACCAAGATAACAATACTACAAAACCAACCAAAATTGACCCTTCCCCACCCATTGCAACCCTTACAAATCCACCTCCTTCATCCCAAAGAAAACCAGATAATCCTTCCTTTCAAAATCTAACCTTGGCTCCTCTGAATATCCAATTCTTTTTATTGGAAACAGCAACTTTCATTAAAAATAGAAATTAATCATTATACACTGTCAACCACTCAGAATATTAGTATTGACCCCAATCGATTACAATAGTTACAACACAGCCCAGAAACAGTTTTCCCTAAAGGTCCCTGCATTGCCAAAGTATCAGCCACAGAATTGGCTGACCTCCTTATCCATTTGAAGATTACTCCATCATCCCTTGCTAAGCAAAGTATTTCCCTCATCTGTTGTCTAAAAATCCATACACCCAGACTTTTTGTCTGCAGCCATCCTATATGAAAGTAAATTGGTGACACATTTTAAGAGGGTCTCCAATATGAAAGTAAATTGGAGTCAGAGCTGTGTAGCGGGAGTAAATAGGCAAGAAGAAGATGTGTTGTCCTTGGCTAGAATCTTCAAGGTAACTGATTGGCCTTTGGTTAATTTAGACTTACCTTTGGGAAGAAATCCTAGGTCAGAAAGCTTCTTGTACCCAGTTTTGGAAAAATTCGCAAAGAAGTTAGCATGGTGGAAGAGGAATTACATATCACTAGGGGATAGAATTACCTTAATTAAGTCTACTTTGCCCAACCTACCGATGTATTTCCTATCCACCTTGAAACTACATGCTAAGGTTGCAAACCTGATTGAAAAGATTATGAGGGATTTTCTTTAAAGGTTCAAAAATGGACCATCTAGTAAAGTGGGAAATAGTGTCTCGAAAAAGGGAACAAGGGGGCTTAGGCATTGATAATATCAGGCTAAGGAACTTAGCATTATGAGGAAAATGGTTATGGAGGTTTCCCCTAGAGCAAGAGAGTTTGTGGCACAAGGTGATAGTGAGCAATCATGGAATGGCAGCTAATGGATGGGATGTTGATCTTGACCCTAGGGATTTTCCTCTTTTCTCCCCTTGGAAAGCCATTGTTGGAGTCCTACCTCCTTTTTGTCCAGGTATGATGCTTGAGTAATAAAGTTCTTTTTTTTACGACACCTAAATTGGAGAAACTACTCTTAAGGATAGATTTTTTTAATACACTCAAAGTTGGGGTTTGGGATAAATTTCCGAGTATGTATTCCCTTTCTTTAAATAAATTCATGGTCATTTCTTCCCTTCGTGTGTCTAAAGGTTCTTGAGGGATTCAGAGGTGGGTCTTGCAAATCATTTGTTTTCTCTTTTGAATTCATTGTTTTTAAATCCATCTTGCCCAAATAGCAAGATTTGGTCAGAGTCCTCAGTTTTTTTCTCTTGTTCTTCGGTTTTCAATGCTCTTCTTTAGTCTTCTAATGTGCCCATTCATTTCCTTTTAAAGAAGTGTGATGTACTCCTGTGGACCTGTACCACCAAAGGTTAGGGCCTTCTACTGGGAAGTGGTTCTCCAAAAAATCAATACTATGGAAGTGAATCAAAGAAAAGGCCAAATCGGTGCCTCTCCCCACATGTTTGTAGCCTTTGCTTGAGAAATGCGGAGACAATGACTCATCTATTAATCTCTTGCCCATTTGTTTCTAATATTTGGGATTGATTCTCCTATCTCTTTGGTTGTAAGTGGAATCCACTCTCAAGTGTGGTGAACCTTTGTGATTCTAGCTTCTTCCAACAACCAAAGTAGAGGGTTAGGGTGATGTGCCAAACAACAAGAGCAGCTATCCAATGATTGATTTGGGAAGAAAGAAATAACAAGACTTCCAAGGGCAAGAAAAAACCAAAGAACTCACAGAAGGCATAACGATCAAAATCTTACACTGAATGAAATCTTTCGATCTTTTCAAGGATTTTTCATCAGATAACATTTTCAGGGGATGGAGTGCAGTAGTGGTGCAGTTGAATTTTAATGGAAGCTCTATGGGTAACCTAGGCCCTTCTAGAGTTGGGGATGCCTTTAGGAATGAAGAAGATTGCTAGCCCTTTACTCTGGCCCAATTGGGGAAGGAAATTCATTAAGGGCAAAAGTGTTGGCTCTACTCCAACGTCTAAGATTGGCTAAACAGTGGGAACTGCAACAGCTAGACGTGGAAGGAGATTCCAAGCTGCTACTAGGTTGGCTGAAAACAAGAAGTTTGGGAATTGGCCCTTCAAACAACATATAAGAGACATTATGTGTCCAACAAGGGAGCTTGGGGTGCAAGTTAGATGGACTAGAAGGTCAGCAAATGGAATGGCTGACACATTAGCAAAGCAAGGAGTCAATAGGGAGTTTTTGTTTTGGGATTGTTTGTAATTCTTTTTTTGTTTAAGGGCTCACCATCCTTTCTTTGGGTGGTGACAGTTGTACTCCTTAATTAATCAATGAAGTTATGTTTCCTATCAAAAAAAATATTCTCAGAGTAAAAAAGTTGCCTTGATCATCATACGGAAATGTAAACAAAAAGATAATTAACAGACTCACTATGCGAACATCAACAGCGGTATACTTCGATGATTCCAAAACTGGTTCCTGCCTGGCTCCCAACTGAAGCAAAAGAAGTCCAAAATCAAGGAAGATGTATAATAAACTGAATGTTATTAGAAATATAAAGAAATTTATGTGGCGAAATAGCGATGGTAATTGATAGCAGCTTAGCCCTAAAGAGCCTGATCATCATACCACAAGAGAAATGAATACATCTCCGAAAAGAAAAAAAATAATTAAATAATAGAAACAAGAACATAATGGGGGGACAACCTTCTTAAGTGCTTCAGCCTCTTCTAATGCCTTTTGTGCTTCATCTACCATTCCTTGCTCACCTGCAGAACATACAGGTATGTATGAATACAAGACAATTCCTGTTGTATAAAAATCATAACAAAACCTATATATGACAATAGAAAAAGCTATGGAAAATAAAAGTTAAGCATTTGTTAGGAGCAAATACTTGAAAACAACATTAAAAGCCATAGGTACATTAATTGAACACGGAAAAGTCCAGGTCAAATCAGGATAGTCCAATTGCCAAGGCCTTGATTAGGTAAGTGCAGGAATGTTATAGGGGCCGATCACCCAGACCAACTCAGGTATTAATGCGTTAGTGGGGACACAGTGATTAATATAATATATTTACAATATTATAAAACTCTTGGCTTAGTAATAGCACAATAGAGGGTGACTTACTATGACACCCCCTCTATTTCGAAACCGCTTTACTTCATCTACCTTCCATCAGGAACCATTCATGTATCTGTCTAGGAATGGTCACATGACACGTAAAATGAGTGGAAAATGTGAAAAGGCATTGTCCGAGGGTTTTTAATTCCAAAAATACCCCTAGCAAGTCTCATATAAGCCTTGTAAAGCTGATAGCCAATATAAATCCCTGCACGAAATGGATAACTCTGACAGAACCTTAATAATTTCTCACGATCTCATCATCCATCCCCCAGCTGCTGCTCAAGGATCTATCTTCTGCCCATTGGGTACCTCAATCCATTGGATCTCCAAGGTGCATGATCAGTAGTTGGAATTTATAAACCATCCAATATCATAAATTTATATTTGTAATTATGAGAAAATAAGAATGGCTGTGTCTCAGCATACCAACATTTTATTGTCTAAACTCCTTTCTTACTAAACATAAACAACCAATCATATTTGGAATAAGCCAAATTACCTCTGGATGGCTGCAACCAAACCTTGCTGATTCCTCACAATAACCAGAAACACATCAAGCAATTTGGCCACCTTGCCACCACGGCTCATCCAAGCACTCTGTTGTCAATCACCTTCAACCCAAACAAACCTGTTTGTTCACTACCCCTTAAGTAGAGAAGTGTGGGGCTTCTTCTTGAAGGCCCTGGAAATCAATTGGGTATTTTTCACAACTCCTAAGGAGGCCTTTGAGGGCAGTGGATGTTGGGCCAGAGCAAGAAGGGTAAGTTGTACTTGTGTGAACAGGGGTGGAAAGAAACACCAGGCTGATCAAAGATGTGCACGTGGGCATAGATGAAGTAATAATAAGGAAGGCTGCAAGGCAGATGTACTTGTGGCTGTCTTCAGCTAACCCAACCAAGGATAAATGAACTAAGGGTGTCTCTTTTAACAATGTTTACTAAGGAATACCTTTTGAGCTGATAAGCGACAGGCTCCTTGTTATTTTTTTGTTAAGCAGATAGCATTTATTGATATACAGTACGGGGCTCACACCTTTCTATTTACATCATTATTAATATACTACCATTTTTCAAAAAAAATATATAAATACAATATCATATAGTATTGTACCATATATAATGTTTTTTTGTTTAGTATCATATATAATTTCAGTTACGATGGATCTTCACCAAGGTTCAGCACATAGCCCTTATCTATTTGCATTGATCATAGATGAATTGACTAAAGATATTCAGGAAGTTCCATGGTGTGTGCTGCTTGTGGATAACATTTTTTAATTGATGAAACTAATGAAGGATTGATTGCAAAATTAAGCTTATGGACAAACGCCCTAGAAACAAGGGGCTTTAAAATAAGAACTAAAACAAAGCATATGATGTGTAAATCTAGTAATATTTGGAGTGTAAATCAGGATACACTTAGGATTGGAAACCAAGAGAGAACTCAATGTGACCATTTCCAGTATCTTGGTTCAATAATTCATAACAAAAGTGTGACTGAAGAGGATGTCACCGGTCACCCAAAGAATTAGAGTAGGATGGGCAAAATGGAGAGGTGTATCTATACAATTTCTTTTATCAATAACGAAATCTTCATTAATCAAACAGAAAAATTAATTACAAAAAAAGGTGGAGATAAACTTTCTTAACTCCCCCAGCAGAGGCTAGAGCCCCCAAAGTGATAAAAACCAGAATTACAACTGAGCCCAGAATATAGATTCCCTAATCACCCTTGCTTGGCTAACCCATCAGCAAACGAGGTGTATCTAGACAAGTGTGTGTGTGTGTGTGATAGGAGAATACCACTTAGATTAAAAGGAAAATTCTATAAAACAGTGGTAAGGCCAGCTATGTTGTATGAAGCAGAGTGTTGGGCAGTCAAGTAACATGTTCAAAAAATGAGTGTGGCAGAAATGCAAATGCTCTGCAGAAACCTGGAAGCAAATCCAAGAAGAGATAAAATGAAAGAGAATAGGCTAGCATGGTTTAGTCACGTGCATAGAAGACCACCAACAGCTCCAGTTTAAAGAAGTGATTTGTTTCAAGTGGAAGGGGCTAGATGAGCTAGGGGTTGGCCAAAAGGGACATGGGTAGTAGTAAGAAATGATTTAAGCACTAACAATTAACAATGGATATAGTTTTAAATAGAACAGATTGGTGAAACAGGATTCATGTAGCTGACCCCATATAGTTGAGATAAGTCATGGATGACAATAATGATGATCATATATATTTTTTCTTAAACAAATATATCTCTTTTTTTGTTTCATTACATAGAACTTTCATTATCCAGAAAAGTAAATCAAATACTATTCTCTATTTCCTCTCCACCACTTCTAACCATTTTGTTTCCAACCAGAAATAGATATCTTTTTCTGACAAGAAAAGGCAAAATGAGAATCTGAACCAATTTTGGCCTTAGCAATCTGAAATGATCCTGACCAAAAATCCATGTACAGTGCATCAATCGACTCTCCTATAATTGAGTCTGTAGGTTCTATTAATTGTAAATCCATATGCCACAAGCACAAGATCTTTGATAAAAAATGAAGGAACCAGAACAAAAAACAGATCATTTTCATTCTTCTTGAAAAACCGAAAGACTACCTGGAGAGCCAAACAAGTACTGTTTTGCTACTCAATTATCAATTGCTTCACACAAACAGCATTCATATTCATGACAAAGACTCCGAAAAACAACTTAGACTTCCTCTTGATTTTAGTCTACCTGCTTGAATTTTCTCAAGAAGATTTCAAATGCTTCTTAACTAATGCAAGAATATCATGCAGATCTCAATAGAAAATTAATACGGTCAGCAGACCCCTATTCAAAATACCATAAAAGGACTTGGAGACAAAGAGCTGGTCAATCAAAATTTCCACGGAAACATAAAATATTTCCTTGTTGACAAGTATGACAACCACAAATTCCTTTCAGATGCAACTAACTATCCATCCAAAAAATAAATGACTGCCCTTCTTCAAAGGGATCAGGAGGAATCAGAAACCCCAAAACCTCTGAAAGTTTTCCAAAGTTTCTGATATATGATATGTAACTCTTTGACATACATTATAATAGAATTTTATCATCATCATCACAAACTAATAGCACCCCTCCAAGCTCCAAATTGACTACCCAACAAACTCATAGCTTCTGAATCAAATTAACTTCACCACCACACAATGTGATCCAGCTCCCAATTGAAGGCGGCTTAACCAAGAATCCACAACTAAATCCCAATAAACACCATAATTACGCACAGAAATTAAACAAAAAAGAAATTCCAAGCCCTTTCAGTAAATTGTAAGTGAATTGAGAATCCAAGTATCCAACACCTTACTGAATGGGGAAAAAACGAAGCATCCAACCCCTCCTCCAAATCAAACAATTTTGATTCAATTACAAGATAAAATCTTGGATGCCTTCATCTGATCGAACAGTTAACAGGAAAAAAAATTAAATTTTCCCATCTTTCATTTTGTCTCTAATTAAAAATTCACCTATGCATAAACACCTTTCCTAGAGAGCTTAAATATTGTACACTTCTTTATCAATAACAAGTCAAAGAGATTTCATTAATGATAGAAAAGAATTATAAATGGTACAAACACAGCTAAGTAGAAAAGTGTTAGACAGTTGTATGCCCTTAGCTCCAATCACAATGACGTACATTATGACATTTATTGTAAATGAATAAAGTACATATTTGATTCATGTTCTTGTGGTATGTTTCTGTGTAATACCCTTAAACTGGGCACTTATGAAACTCGTGTTAGTTTAGAATGTTCACAATCGTTGGATAAGTCTGGGGAGATTTATCCTGCCAAGGCTGACACTAGTGTGCTGCCAAATGTTGGGGTGGCCTGTCTCAGCCGCCAGGGTGAGACCCAAAGTACATGCAGTGTAGGTT